CACAACACCTAAAAAAAACCACAACAAAGACAAAACCAAAAAACAAAAAAAAAACAAAAAAACAACAAATCACAAGCCAACAACCAAACACACAAACCACAAAAAAAACAAACCCCCAACACAACACAAACAAACAAACACACAAACCACCAGCCAAGACAAAAAGACCACACAGAAGCACACCACCAACAAAAACACCATACCAAACCAACAAAAACCCACACACAAACAAGACACCAACCAAAAAGAAACAAAAACACCAGCACACAAACACAACAAACAAAACAACAGCACCACCCTCAGCAACCCCCACACAAAACAAAAAGCACCAACACCACAAAAAAAAAAAAAATAATAATCAAACAACAAAACCAAAAACAAACAAACACACAAAAAAAAACACAAAGAAACAACAAAAACAAAAAAAAAAAAAAACAACAAAACACAAAAACAAAAAAAAAAAAACAAAAACAGAAAAAGCACTAACAAAAAAAAACAAAAACAACAAGCGCCCACACAACAACAAAAAAAAGAACGAAAAAAAAGAACAAAGAACACCCAAACAAAAAAAACCCAATAACCCCCCACAAAAAAAACCACAACACAAACAAACCACATACCACCAAAAAAAAACCAAAAGACACAACAAACACCCCCCCACCACAACACAAAACAAAAACAAAAAAAACAAACCACCCGACCGACATAACAACAAAACTTAAAGCCCAACAAACACTAAACCAAAAAACACCTACACCAAAAAAAACACAAACAACACCAACACCACCAAACCAAAACAAAAAAAAACACAAAAAAACAACCCAACAAAAACGAAACACAAAAAAACCAACAGAAAAAAAAAAAAAAAACTACCAAAAAAACAAAACACCAAAAACACACACAAAACACAAAAAAAAAAACACAAAAACAAAAACAAAAAAACAAAACAAAAAAACAAAAAAACACCAAAAGACAAAGCTAAAAAAACAAAAAATAAAAAGCTAATAAAAAAAAAACAAACCAAAACACAAAAAAAAAAAACACAAAACACAACAAAAACAAAAAACACCCAAGCAAAAAAAACAAAAAAAGCTAACCAGAAAACAACGCCAAACCAAAAAACAAGAAACAAAATCTAAAAAACAAAAAAACAAAAAACAAAAAACAAAAAAAACAACAAAACAAAACATAACAACCACACAACCAACAAGAAAAACAAAACAAAAAAACCTAATAAAAAAACCAAAAACAAAAAACAACAACCCAACACACAAACCAAGAAACGCACAACACAACAAACCCCCTCAAACAAACGCACACCACTAGACCCCCGACACCCACAACCCCGGCACCAAACCAAACAACACCTCAAACCAAAGGGCCATACAAAAACCACCCACACAGCCACAAAAAACAAAACAAAACCACAAAATACCCACACAACACCACAACCACACACAAACCAACCTAAACAAAACACAACAATAAATCAAAACCAAACCAAAACATCAAACAAACACAACACAATCACAACCCACAAGCAAGAACCAAAAAACACCACAAAAAAACACCAAAAAAAACAAAGCAAAAACACAGATAACCACGCCCCCCTACAGAACCAAAACCGCAACTACAAACCCCCACCAACAACCTAACCCAGCAAAACCACACGACAACAACCACAAACAACTAAAAACAAACAAAAACAAAACCTACCCCAAAAAACACAAACCACAAAATACACCACACCAAAAACCACCACACAACAACAACAAAAAACCAAACCCACAACCCCCCACCCCCAACAACCCACCAAACCAAAACACCACAACCAAAACACACCTAAAACACAAAACAACCCACCCCCAAACACCACACCCCACCAACCACAAACCACCCACATATGCCCAAACGTCCGCACTAAAGCACAGCCCCGACACATTATCACGCTAACCCCACACACCACCACAAACCAACAAGCCCACCACCACAAATCAACACCCAACAAAACACATACCCCCCTCCCCCCCCCGTCCCCCCCCACCACCCCAACACCACAAAACACCCGCAACCCCCACCAAACACCACAGACCACCCCACACAACCACACCACAAACCACACAACACAACGCACAACCCACACAAACCACCCCAACGACCACCCCAAACCACCCACCACCCACCACAACACCCCACCACCCACCACAACCGCCCACCACCAGATAAGACCCAACACATCACGACCACACCCACCACCACAAAACACACACAAAAACCATAACCCACCACACAAACAACAAAAAACACACAACAGCACAAACCCACCACAAAAAACACAAGCCCACACCCCCCACCCCCCCCACCCCACACCACCAAACCCCCAACCCCCCACACTCCATACAAACCAAACCACAACAAAAACCCCTAACCAACCGTCCGTCCCCCCCCCCGCCCCGCCCCACCAGCCCCCCCCACAAACCCCGCCAAACCACCGCCCCCACACACCACAAACCACCGCAACAGCAACACAACCGCCCAAACACACAACCAACCAAGAACCCAACAACCAACAACCCACACCCCACAAACACCACCCACCCCCACCCACACAACCACAAAACCCCCCCCACCCCCCCCCAAACCCGCGCTCCAACACCCCACCCCCCAAACCACACCCCCCCCCCCCCACACCAACAACCCAAACACCGCAGAATCCACACCCACACGCATACCACACCCAAACCAAAAAACGCCAACCACAACACCGGGGCCAACCACCACCACACAAGCACAAACCAACCACCCCCCCACCACCCACCCACCTCCCCAACCCCCCTACACCACTCACACCAAAACCCCCCACCACCCAGCACCACCCACCACACACACACCCAAACAAAAAACCACCCCAACCACACAAACATCCCAACCCCCCAAACAACAAACAAACCCAACACACCCACCCAACCAAACCACCAATACCCCAAAAGCACAACCCCCCAACAAAAAACCAGACCCACCAAACAACCAAACACCACACACCCACCCACCCCCCCCCCCCCCCCACCACGCCCCCCCCCCCCCCCCCCCCCCCCCCACCACGCCCCCCCCCCCCCCCCCCCCCCACACACCCCCCCCCCCCCACCCCCACGACCCCCCCCCGGCCCCCCCCCCCCCCCCACCCACCACACCCCCCCCCAACCCCCCCCCCCCACCCCCCACCCCCACACCCCCCCACAACCCCCCGCCCCCCCCCCCCCACCCCCAGCACACACCCCACACCCACCCCTCGTTGCAAACCCCACACCCCACCCAACCCACCCATCCCCACCCACGCCCGCCACCACAACCACCACACAACCCCCCCCCCCCACCCCCCCCCCCCCCCCCCAACCACCAACCCCCCCCACCCCCCCCCCCCACAACACCCCCCCCCCCCCCCCACACACTCACCCACCCTCCACCCCCCGCACCCTCGACCCTCCCCCATCACACCCCAAAACCTCCCCCCCCAACCCCCCTCCCCCATCTCCCCCCCCACCCCCCCCACCGACACAACCCTGTAACGTCCCCACCCCACACACCCCCCAACACCAAAAAAAACAAAAGCAATCACTCCTGAAGACACTCCTGGCACTCCTTGAGTTCCCTATAGACAACCTTCTTCTAGTAGGTAACAGCTGGAGATAAGTTGCGGGGTTTTAGGTACAGAATGATTAATGTTGCAAGGTAAATAGCAGCAAGACTGTTGGCAGGGTAGGTAGCAGTATGACTAGTTGCAGGGTAAGGTAGCAGCAAGACTATTGTTTGGCAGGTAGTTAGCAGCAAGATATGTTTGCAGGGTCATTAGGTAGCTGCAAGGACTATTTTGCATGTAGGTAGTAGCAAGACCATGTTGCAGGGTAGTACAGCAGACTATGTGCAGGGTAAGTGCAAACTAATGTTGCGGGTAGGTAGCAGCAAGACTATGTTGCGTGACAGAGTAGAAGCAAGACTATGTTGCAGGGTAGGTAGCAGCAAGACTATGTTGCAAGATAGGTAACAGAAAGACTTTGTAGCAAGGTAAGTAGCAGCAAGATTATGTCGCAGGGTAGGTAGCAGCAGAACTATGCTACAGGGTAGGTAGCAGCAAGACTATGTTGCAGTGAAGGTAGTAGCAAGACCATGTTGCAGAGTAGGTAGCAGCAGGACTATGTTGCAGGGTAGGTAGCAAGACTATGTTGCAGGGTAGGTAGCAGCAAGACTATGTTGCAAAGTAGGTAGGAGCAAGACTATGTTGCAGGGTAGGTAGTAGCAAAACTATGTTGCAGGGTACGGTGAGCTCTAAACTTAGGGGGCAGGGTCAGTAGCGGCAGTGCTGTGTTGCAGAGTAGATAGCAGCAAGACTATGTTGCAGGGTAGGTATCAGAATTGCTATTTTGCATTTTAGATAGCAGTAGGACTATGTTGGAGGGAAGGTAGCAGCAAGACCTATGTACACAGGGTAGGTAGTAGCAATCTATGTGCAGGGATGTAGAAGCAGTGCTAATGTTGGCAGGTAGTAGCAGAAATGACTATATTTACAGAGAAAGTAGCAGCAGGAATATGTTGCATGGATGGTAGTACCAAGACTATACTGCAGTGGATGTAGGCACAAGACTACGCTGCAGGGGAGGCAGCAGCAGTGCTATGTTGCAGGGTATGTAGCAGCAAGACTATATTGCACGGGAGGTAGCAGGAAGATTATTTTGCCTGGAGGAAGCAGCAGTGCTATGGTTGCAGCGTAGGTAGCATGCAACGCAATGATTGCAGGGATTAGTAGCAGACTATGTTGCAGGGTAGGTAGCAGCAGGACTATGTTGCAGGGTAGGTAGCAGAAAGACTATGTTGCAAGGGAAGTAGCATCAGGACTATGTTGCAGGGTAGGTAGCAGCAGGAATATGTTGCAGGGTAGGTAGCAGCAAGACTATATTGCAGGGGAAGTAACAGCAAGACTATTTTCAGGTGGTACCAGAGGGACTATGTTGCAGGTAGGTATCCAGAATACTATGTTGCCAGGTAGGGAGCAGCTAGACCATGTTAAAAGTAGGTAACAGCAGGAACTAGATGCAGGATAAGTAGCAGCAAAACTATATTGCATGGTAGTAATCTAGCAGGACTGGTGTTGCATGTTAGGTAGCAGCAAAACTATATTGCCGGGTAGGTAGCAGCAAGACCATTCTGTTAATGATTAAAAATCTTTTGTTTCGAAAAAATTTATGCTTATTATTAAAATAATTTCATGTACTAACATTTGCTATGTTAAATTGTTTATTGAATATAAAGATGGCAAACATATATATGTTATTGAAATTTAAAAATACGGCCCCACATAAAATTTGTCACAACATTAGATATTATACATTAGCTTTTGACTATAAAAACACGTGCTTATTGCAATATTTGTCAAACCACACGTGTTGTAAATAAAAAAAAAATAAATGGTAAAACCCGAAGATAAAGATATTAGATACTCACATGATAACTGAAGACATTAAATGCTCAAACACAGGACTGAGTTGTGGCAACATTGTACCAGTCTTGGCCAATTAAAAACTTTAGGAACTTCCGTCTAAGGTGTATCATTGTGCAGGGAAAGTGTCAGCAACAAGACTTGTGCCTCACCCAGGAATGTGTTCACGCTGCCTCCAGTCTCCTCGCTGCTCTCAACAACAAAGTCGACCCCTGCCATGATTTCTACGA